GGAACAGTTCTCATAAACTATAACTGAAAGATCAGTGGACTCAGATTCAAGAGACCTACATTCTAGTCCTATAATGGAGAGTGATGAATTTGGAGTTATGGGACCTAGGTTTAAATCCTGGCCCAGCTAGGTAGGATAGTGCATAGAACAATGGACTTGGGGGCAGGAATACCTTAATTCAAATTCTACTTTAGAATCTTACTAGATGAGAGATCCTGGATGTGAACCCCTATATGCCTCTGTTTCCTCATCTGTAAGATGAAGGGGTTAAACGTGCTGGTCCCTTCCAGCTCTAAATCCATGATCATATTATTTGATGACCAGTGTGATCTTAGAAAAGTCAAGTATTTCGATCTCCTCATTTCCTTAGCTGTAAAATGAAGGGCTGGATTATATGATATTTAAGATCCCTGTCACCTCTAGATTTATTATTCTCTGACTGAATGTCCTCTAAGTTACCTTATATCTCTGTGATTCTCTGATCCTTTGATTTTCAGAACAAAAGAAAACAAAAAAGACAAAACAGAACTTACATAGGCAAATAATAAAGTATAAAGACTGGTTTGTTGTTCATTCATTTTTCAGTCATGTCTGACTCTGTGACCCTATTTGGGGTTTTCTTGGCAAAGATATTGGAGTGGTTTACCATTTTCTTCTTCATCTCATTTTGCAAATGAGAAAATTTAGGCAAACAAGGTTAAATGACTTGCTCGTGGCCACACAGCTAGTAAGTGTTGGAGGTCAGATTTGAACTCAGGAGGATGAGTCTTCCTGGCTCCAGGCCTGGCACTCTATTCACTATGCCATAGACTAACCATGCTGCCCTCACCATCTAGTTACTCTGTAAAGACTGGAGGCAGGCCAAATCAGAGGTATTCGGACTTCTTTAGGATATATCCTTTTTCTCTGCTTTTCCTTACTTCTTCCTCATGAAGAAAAATACATACACACACAATATGAATTTCAAACTTTCAAATGGGCATTTCCTGTATGAAAGAAATGACTCATATTGTTGATGTTCTTAAACACACAATGCCTTCATCTGGCACATGTTGTCTAAGAAATCATCATCCAGATGTTTAGAGGAGGGATAAATATACAGATGTTTTGCAGTAAGGCAAATACAAAGAGTAGCCCCCAGCTACCACTAGATTTAAACATTCCATCATCTTAACTTTTCAATGTTGTCCTCTTGGACATGTGAGAGAGAAGCAACTATAGCATAATATTAAAATTAATGGCAAACATTTATTGAAAAGCATTTTACACATATCTCATCTGATTCTCACAACAACCCTGGGAGATAGGTGCTATTATTATCCTCATTTTACCAAAAAGGAAACTGAGGCAGACAGAAGTTAAGTAACTTACACAGGATCATATAGCTAGTGTCTGAGGTGGGATTCAAACTGAGGTCTTTCTGATTCCATGTCTATCACTTTCTCCACTTCACTATTGAGCTATTCAATAGTCTGAGAAGACTCCCAATTTGATCATTTTACAAGTGAGCTCTATGGTACTGGTACCCTCAAGTTGAGTCCATGGTCATCAGTGAGAACACTGAAGGCAAAACCAAATATACTGGGGGATATCTGCCTTGGAATGAGTTACATATGTGCCATTTCCCCCAATGGGACATGAGCTACGTGTGATGGCCTGTTTTATTTTTTTGTCTTTGTATCTCTAGCACTTAGTACAATACCTGGAACATGGCTGCATAAGGATTTGAATGGCTTGACAAGATGGCAGGCAGCAAAGGAGAGTAGTAACTATCTCTTCTCTTTTGTCTTGCCAGGAATTCTGCAGGTTATTGAGGGATTACAATTTTTTTCATTTTTTAAGGAATGGTTCTATGTGGGCATTTGTTTCTAAGCTACTTGAAAGGCAGCTATTTTAAATTATATCACAGAGGTACATACGTGTGGTTGACCTCAACTAGACCACTTAGACGCACGTTGCTAAATGATTCAACCTAAAATGGGGAGTCATCATGACTCAGGAAGCTGACCACTTGCTTCTTAGTGAATGGTCACTTAAAGTAGCCAGGCTCTACTCTATTTGGGTTGTTTTCCTTTCCTCAAGTTCATGAGTCCAAGATTGGACTTTTTACCTCAAGAGTTTTGCCCCAGTCTCTGAAAAGATGAGACTCTTTTCATCAAAGCAACTTTGTGCCCTTGGTCTCAGAAAGAGATTGTGGATTTAGAGCTGGGTAGGGCCTTAGAGGTCATGGGATGATAGATCTTGAGATGGAAGGAACCTTGGAGATCATCTAATCCAACTCTTTCATTTACGGATAAGGAAACTGAAGCACAGAGAGGTTACATCACCTACCCCAGGTCCCATAGTTAGTAGGAAAGCTGAGATTCCAATCGAGTCCCTTGATGTCAATCTCACATACTTTCTACTGCACCATGATGCCTCTTTTCTATGTATTCTCATCTCCTCAAGGAGATTTTCACTTTGATCATTGCCCCCCACTATATTTTCATTTTTTCCTTACACTTTGGATCCTTCTTTATTGCCAATAAATGTGCTTGGGTATCTCCCATCCTTTAAAAACTTAAAACACACATACACACACGAACAAAACCCCTTTACTCAGTTTAGGGCATCCCCTCAAACTATTATTATTTATTGTTGTTGTTGTTGTTTGTTATGGTGTATTCTCTCATCACCAGCACACTGTTACTATCCTTGGCTTTCCATAACTTTCCATCTCAGGTACCACTTCCTACATGAAACCTTTTTTGATTCCCCTGATCATTAGTGCTCTTTTCTACTCTCAATTATCTTGTATTTAGAGGCACCTCAAACAAAGAAGATCTGAGTTTGAATTCTCAAACATTTCCTAGCTGTTTGATCTTAGGCAAGTCATTTAACCTCTGTCTGTCCCAGTTTTCCCAATTTTAGAACAGGGATACTAATAGCATCTATCTCTCAGGGTTATTGTGGGGGATTAAATGAGATATTTGTCAAACACTTAGCACAGTGCCTGTCACATAGTATGTGCCATATAAGAGCCAGCTGTTATTATTATCTTTACTACTATTAATGTTTATATCACTTATACCTCTCCTCCATTAGACTGTAAGCTTCTTAAGGAAAAGAATTGTATTTTCCTTTTTGTTTTTGTATTACCCTCAGCAACAGAGAAAGTACTGTCCTGAACAGGTAGAGGGAACTTCCTCATCTGTGAGTTCTTATATCAAAGAAATCATAGGTATAGCCCCCATCCCTTTGTTCCTCCAATGTCTAATACAGTGAGGAGAACATAATAGGCACTTAAGTTTTTTAAATGCATGGATGATAGTCCCTACTAGGAAGCTAGTCAGATTCATGTAATATGAGGCAGTTTCTGGGGATGACAGGATCCAGATGCTTTCTGCCCAGTTTAAAAAAGCACAAAAAGTGTGTGCTAGCTCATGGCCTTTGACTAAATGCCCAATTGCTTCTGGAAGTTAATCTGATTTAAATTAGATTCCTTCAACACAGTCATCTATTTCCTCATGCTGCCTGGAGTCATTACAAACCTTTCTACCTGCTGGCAACCACAAATCCAATGCCTTTAGATAGAGAGTACAAATAACCATTCCTTAGTTGACTCCTGAGATAATAAGCTAGAGCTTTTTAGAAATTACCTATTAGTGATGGATAGTCTGAAGTTAAAAATTATAGACTCATACTGTCTCCAAGATGGTTGAGCCCTTGTCTGATAGGGGAATTTTCTATAGCATCTATCTATACATGTACGTGAAAAATGTTGGTAAAATTGTCTGGGGGTGACTTGAAGTTTAGGTGGCTAAAAATGCCTTGAAGACAGAGCTAGAATATATATAAAAGCCTCCTGATCTAGAGCCTATATGCAATGGCTTAGATGTCCTTACACTTCACATTTCCTGATAGAGGAGTCATCTAGAAAAAAATCACTAGATGAATCTGAGGTCAAAGGGGGTAAAGAATCAATCAACCAAAATATATTGTGCCTTCTTCATGCTAGATTCTGGGGAGGCAAAGACAAAAAGGAGGGGATCCCTTCCCTTAAAGAACTTACATTCTACTAGGGGAAGTACCAAGTTCATAAGAAAAGTCATTCATATGTATATGTATATGTATATGTATATGTATATGTATATGTATATGCTGCATGTATATGTACATGTTTCTTTGTATGTGTACATACATACATACATAGTGTATCAACATATACAATATACATACTGAGATAGAGAGATAGAAATAAGTAGGTAGATAAATGCATCAATAGCAATAGATAGATAGACAGACAGATAGACAGACAGATAGGTCTCAATACATAGTGATTGGCAGGGCAGGGTGAGGAACACTAACAACCTGGGTAATCAATAAAAGTCTCTTCAAAGTGTTGGCCTTTCAACTGTGTCTTGAAAGGAACTAATGATTCCAAGAGGCAGAACCCAGGGGAGAATTTCAGACATAGGATGTATTGCTTGGGAAAAGGTATAGAGACGGGTGATAGAATGTTATATGCAGGGAATGACAAATAGGCCGGTTTGTCTAAAGCTTAGAGTATGTTAGGGGGAGTAAGATGTAGTTAACCTAAAAAAATATATGCTGGATGCAGATTGTGAAGGTTTTAAATTGGGAACAGTGGAGTTTACATTTTAACCCAAAGGGAGCCATTGAAACTTCCTGAGCAGAGCAGTGACATGGTCAGACCTGCTCTTTGTGAATGTTAATTTTGAACTTCATTCCTTTTTGTTCATTCATAGGATGACTTGGCTTCTAGTCTTTATGGACAATAGTAGCTCTGGAGGCCCTGTTCCTCTACCCTTCTGAAAGTTTTCTCTCCTGGTCTTTCAAAAAGATTTCAGAATTGTGGTTCATCACTGGGGCACAGTGGCTATTCTGTCTATGATACCTTTGCTGATACTAACATTAAGACTTCAAAGTTTATGCAGAAAAGTCTATATACCTAGCCACTTTTATAATTTAAAGTATCAACACACATCCCCGTTACTTACTGCTCTTCTGGCTGCTTTCTGTGGTTGATGCAGTACTCTGAAATCGGTGATCAGAACCTTGTGGTTTTGCAGTGCTGGAAACTTCAGTTGGGCTCTCAGTTTGGGGGGATTCTTTTTCTGCAAAGACAGTAAGTATCCTTTAATAATATTGCTAGAAGTTTATTTTTTTATTAAAGTTAATATTAATAATCATCTTGGGTCAAAAGCTGAAAATCTAAAAATCATTCAATATGATATTTTGGTGCTAGCTAATCAATGATTAGCCTGCATTTGGTTACTGGCAATGCTGGTTCATCAGCTCATTTCCACCAACTTGACCACAAAGACATTTGAAAAATCAGGCATCTTGGTAACCAGATTGGTTCCAAAGCCTGTGCTATGTTTCTGGATTATATTTATAGCTCTAGGATCCTTACAGGTCTCTGAGTTCAACCCCACTCATTTGATAGATGAAGAAATGGAAACCCAGAAAAGTTATGTGACTTGCCCAAGGTCATACAGGCAATAATGAGTAACAAAGCTGGTATTTGAACTGAAGGAATCTGATTCCAAATCTATTTCCCTTTCCATTGCACCAAGGTCTGGACGTGTGTGAGGTAAAAACATTTCAAAACCTCAATTACCTCTCAGTTGGGAACAAGCCATGTTATAAGAACTGGGGGTAAGTGGAAGTGATTCTAAAGTTTCAAGATTTTGAACTTTGGAGACTGATGTTCCTATTGGCAAAAGAAAGTCAGGATGAGAAGTTGTTGCTTTTCAGGAATGGAAGAGAAGATGATCTGAAGTTTAGACATGTTGAGTTTGAGGTGGCAATAGCATAACCAACTAGAAGTGCCCAGCAGTTGTTGGAAATGTGTAACTGGGGCCCAGGCAAAAGATGTTCATTTGAAAGTAATCTGTATGAGGGCAGCTAGGTGGCACAATGGGTAGAGCACTGGCCCTGGACTTGGTAGAAACTGAGTACAAACTGGACTCAGATACTTATTAACTGTGTGACCCTGGACAAGTCACGCAACCCTGCTTGCTTCCAATAATAAATAAATAAAAGAAAAAAATGAGAAAGTAATCTTTAAGGTTGTGACTTTTGAAGTTATGAGAGTGGGTTGAAGTCTCCAAAGGAGAGTAAAGAAAGGAGTCAGGGCTGAATGTTAAGATGAATACTAGATGTCTCTATTCGGGGGCAGAAGGTAGAAATGGTCCCCTTATGAATTAGGAAAACAAAAACATTAGGATCTTATTTCTAATAAAAACATAGGATCTTATTTCTAATAAAAAAGAGTGGTAGGTTAGAAGGGTTAAATAATGTTGACAAGCCAAAGAGAATTAGGAATGAGACAAAGCCCTAAACATGCACACAGAAAAGTATTCTATGAATTATTTTTGTTTTTATTTTACAAATAAAGCTTAATTTTTAATTTAAAAAGTTTTTGTTTCCTTTTTGTTTGATGAATAAAAACAATGATTGAGTTCTTTATGATTGAGTATTCAACAAATATATACCTTAAGAATAATAAAAATAATAAAAAAGAAAATTCCTTGGGTATACCCTTTAATGAAATAGACTGTACATACCTATGACCAAGGCTGAAAGTGATTAGGAAACCATAGAAAGTTCTTTTTGCCCTTCAATCAATCAGCATGCATTTTTTAAGTGTTGCAGGCATTGTGCTAGACTCTGGTCATACCAATATAAAAGCATGGTCCCTACCCTCAAGGAGTTTCTGCATAGATAAGAAAATAGAATATATGTAAAGTATATATATGTACACACACACACACACACACACACACACACACACACACATATATATATAAAGTAAATCAAGCAAGGCCTCTTGGGGAGGTATTCATTTAGTCATTCAACACACATTTATGCTGAATATGTAGAGAGGCAGGCAAGAAGCTATAATGCAGGCAGTGTAGGAGAAAGTGGGTGTCAAGGAAAACAGGGATAATGAATATAGTGCATTGCACTCATGCAAGAAATTTGGCAGGGAAAGAAGGGAAAAAATAAGAAATTGTGTTTTTTAGGTAGTTATATATTTGTGTGTTTAAGGAAAATGTTATTTTATACATAGAGAAAGTAAAGGACAAAACCCTTTTTTTTGATGTAGGAATAAAATGATTCAAAATAACATATTTACACAATTATCAGAAGCGAATGGCTACTCTGTTAATGCTCTGTGATTCTACCAGGATGCAAAATGAGTTCAATGCTGAGGTAACACCTCTTGGAATTGTGAGATCCAGTTAGCAGTATTAGCAGGTAATTGAAATGAGGGCCATCTCCTTAAATGCCACCCTCTGACATGGAATCTATGTCCTATAGAGCAGCCTTTGAAAGGGCTTAGAGAAAGGAAGAAATGATGGAAATAGGCATCTGGGTAATGATAGTTGATGGGTGCAGATGGACTAGCAAAGATCTTGCTGTTTAAGTGGGAGGCAAAGATGATAAATAGATTTCTGAAGGGCTCAGTGGGATACTTTTTCAGTGGTTGATGAGGTAAGAACTAGTAAGCTTTTTAGGCTGAAGTGGGGAGGAGAACTGGAGAGGAACTTTATAGAGGAATTTACAGTGCTGTCAAAGTCTATAAAGAGACTAACTGAAGAAGACTAGGATAGAAGGTGTAGCAGGGTGCCTGGCACACAGGAAATGATCAATCCACATAGTAAATGCTCTATCCATGCCTCATTTCTCTCCCTACTGTGTTCCTGACACTTCAGTTTTTCCAATCTCCTTTCACTTCTAGCTCCTTTTTCTGTGTTGTTTTCCTCCATTAAAATGTAAGCTCCTTGAGGGCAGGGCTACCATTTTATTGTATTTGTATAAAGCTTCTGTCTACCTACCTATCATCTATCTATCCATCCATCCATCCATCCATCTATCTATCTATCTATCTATCTATCTATCTATCTATCTATCTATCTATCTATCCATTTACCTATCTAATCTATCTATCTACATTTATTAAGCATTTATTGTGTGTCAGGCACTGTGCTAAGTGCTGGGGATACAAAAAGAGACAAAAGTTGCCTGCCTTCAAGGAGTTTGCAATCTAATAAGGAAGGCAATGTGCAAATGACTATATGCAAAAAGAGTTATGTGCAGGATCAACAGGAAATAATAATTATCAGAGGGAGGGATGTAGAATAAATGGAATTAATGATTTATCTAGCTTTTTTCAGTCTAATCTTATAGTCTGTTTATCTATGTATCTACCCATGTACCTGCCTATCTGGAGGGTTTTTACTTTTCTATGAGAAGCAAAGTCAAAGCATGTGTTTGTCCTAGCCAAGGTTATTCCCTCCAAATGCTAGTTTTATATTTACCCTGAATGTATCTTATATATACATTTATATATGTACATGCTGTCTTCCCCTTTAGAATGTATGCTCTTGGGGCTCAGGTACTCTTTATATAAGCAGTACCTGGCACATAGCAAGCGGTTAATAAATGTCTTTTGATTGATTGAATGAAAACCAAGAAACTGGTAGGAAGGTCTCAGAATGGTTTGAAGAAAAGGGACACAAAGTGCAGGCACCTAACATTATTTGAGAGCTGTTCAGTCTTTCAACACTTATTTACTCATACCTTATATATACTTATGATAAACATCAGTTTCTTAGCCCTGAACAGTTAGAGAAAAAAAGCAAATTAGGCTGAGTGTGGTGGCAAATGTTTGAAATCCTTGCTACCAGAGAGAGGCTTGGGTTGATTGATCTGTTGAGCTTGAGAGTTCTGAACTGCTGTGGGCTAAGCCAATCAAGTTCACACTAAGTTCAGCCAAAGGAGGGATGAAACAGAGTCCAGAAGCAGAGTAAGTCAAAGCTCCTATGCCTGATCAGAGGCAACTGGACCTGTGAAGTCCCTGTACTTCCAATTTGGGTAAGATAGGAAGACTCAGTCTAAAAAGGAAGACAAATAGGAAGGGAGGGGGGAAGAAAGAAAGAAAGAAAGAAAGAAAGAAAGAAAGAAAGAAAGAAAGAAAGAAAGAAAGAAAGAAAGAAAGAAAGAAAGAAAGGAAGAAAGGAAGGAAGGAAGGAAGAAAGAAAGGAAGGAAGGAAAGAAGGAAGGAAAGAAGGAAGGAATAGAATGAGAAAAGGAAAGGAAGTGAAATGAAGGAAGGTTGGAAGAAAAAGCAAAAGGGAAGAATGGAAGGAAGGAAGGAAGAAAATAGATGAAATGACAGAGAGAAGCACAATCTAACAATAAGGGAGGATACAAAAAAATAAGCAACCAGAACAATCTCAAAAAGCATAGCCATCTGGGGCCATTTTGTGTAGGGGAAAACAGAGTTGCACGCCTAAATAGTCATTAACAATTGCAGTTTAGTATAAATTGATGTAGATATAAAAAAGTTAAATTCTATTTAAGAAGTCAGTGAAGTATTAGTATATTTTAGAGATGTTTCCACCCAAGCTTGCTGAAACAAAGCCAATCTGATATTTAAAGGGTTAAGTTTCAGCTATCTATAAAGGTAACTTCTACAGAACAGCTAGCTCATTCTCTATTGATGCTGGATGAATAAGGTGTGTCACCTACCCGTCGTTGCCACTGTTAAGCTAGATGAAGACTTTGTAGAAATCATAGGTGTCGATGATGGTTCTTTGAGTGTTCCTGTTTGATGAGAAAAATGACATTATTATTATTAACCACAGTTCTCATCATACCTGTCAAAAGACTAATCAAATGTAGGTGGAGATTGGGGGTGGGTGAGAGTCATTCTGCAGAGGTGTTCTCTAAGCATTCAAACTACAGAGATTTTTCTTATTTCCTAGCACCTTTCACTAGTGAATAGGAGCTCTGGGTGGCCACAGCACTCCTGGTTTTCTCAGCAATTGACTGCTTCACTTACAGACCCACATTAATGGTATATTTTTTAACCATACTCTTTCTTTATTTCACAGAAGACTCTTAGCTAAATAGTTGAAATACCACAAGGTATTTATCATCAAAGAGGCATAAAATAATACAAATAGAGCATAAAGAAACACTTATTTTCCTGGGGGGGGGGATTCAATTCATAGGACCATATATCTAGAGACAGATGGGACTTTGGTAATTGGACAAATTCAACCCCTTGATTTTATAGAAGAAACAGGTTTTAAGTGACTTTCTGAGATAAAATAAGCAGTAGTCAGAATTCAAATCCAGTCTGACTTACCCCAGTCCAGTAATCTTTCCACCATACTAATCACTTCTCAAAAATTACAGTCATTCTTATTAGGGCCTAATAAGTGCAAGTCAATCTACTATATACAGATTAAGAAAAAAGAAGGTTGGTTTGCTAGGGTCTGGAAATGATGTACATACTTCTCGGGATGAAAGAATTTTTAGAATTCATCCATCTCTTTGAGTTACAAAAGTAAAAGTAAGATGAATATATAAATGAACCAACAAAACCATCCAACTCTATATCTTTGGGAAGGGACTGGCAAACATTTTTACTTCCTTACTCTGAAGAACTTCTAAATGATTAGATAATGGGAGATCATTTGATGTATAATGGATAAAATGCTGAACTTGTAATCATGAGGACCTGGGTTCAAAGTTCATAATCAATATTTACTATGAGACCATGGACAGCTCAATTGCCTCCTCTAATTTTGCATTTCCTCTGTAAATTGCTGATAATAATACATGTAATATATACAGGACTGTTATGGGTTTCAAATGATGTATTTTATAAAAAGTACTTCACAAACTTTAAAATACCATGTACATAATTTAATTATTAACATTAATTTATTAATATTGCTTTAAATTGCAAAGATCAGACTGATTTTGGATAACATTATTCCAAAAGTAAAGTGTGAAGGTGTGATATCTTGAGAGTACAGAAAGTTATCACTGCTGACTGACTGTTCCTAATAGAGCTGTTCAAAGACACTCTCATTGAATCTATAGAAAACGAACCTTTATTCCAACACTTTTATTCAATTAAAAAAACTATTCTTTTATCTACTTGGTCAGCTAGGTGGATCACTGTAGATGGATTCAGGAAGATCTGAATTCAAATCCAGCATCAGATACCGACCAATGATGTAACACTGGGCAACTCACTTAAACTATGTGACTCAGATAGTAATAGTGCCTACCTCCCAGGATTACTCAGAGTATCAAATGAGAAATAATTATTTGTCACTTTGCATAGTGTCTGGCACATGTTAGTTGCTCAACAAATGCCCATTTTCTTATTTTCCTTCTTTATTGTTACAAAAGAACAATAGTAGGGAAGTGACTTACCCCGCTACTATTTCTATTCAAACTCCATCACACAGCAGGTAGACAAGGAAGAGATGATGATGGTGGTGTTTGTGATGATGATGATGATGATGATAGTGATGATTATGATGATGATGATGATGATAATGATGAAAACAAAACTTACACTTGCATGGCATTCATATCTCTTTTTCTCATTTGATCCTTCTAAAAGTTTTAAGATATGGCTGAACAAATTGTGGTGTATGATTGTGATGGAATACTACTGTGCTATAATACTCAATGATCTTAGAAAAACATGGAAAGATTTACATGAAATAATGAGGTACAAAATGAGCAGAACCAAGAGAACATTGTATACAGTAACAGCAATATTATTTTAGGAACAATTTTGAGCAAACAAGGTATTATGAGTATTATAAATACACAAATTAACTACAAAGGACACATGAAGCAGGGTGCTATCTGCATCTGGACAAAGAGATGATAAATAAAAGTTTGTATGGAGTAATTTTACAAACACACACACATTTGTATATAATAGCAGCCATCTCTAGGGTGTGGTAGTGGGAGGGAAGAAGAAAAAGGGAAAAACAAATAAAATTTACATGTAAACTTTGTTGTATATTTAAAAGGAATAGCAAGTTGTACATAGTAGATTTGCAGTTTCATGTGTAATCATCTTTTTTATTGTACTGCATTATGAAAATGCTTGTTTTAGTCCATAAAAAAAATAAATTAAAAAATGAAACTCTTTAAGACAGATATTTTGCAGATAAGGGAACTAAATCATAGATGAGTTAAATTAATTGTTGAAAATTCCACAGCTAGTAAGTGACAGACATGAGCTCGGTTTTCTGACTACTTGTCAAGTCCTCTATCCACTCAGGTGATACAAAGCATATAATACTTACTCTTCGTATTCAATATCTTTCTGTCTCTGAAGCACTTGCCTCCTTTCTTTACCCTCAGTGATGTCACTTTCTTCATTATATAGTGGGATGAAGTCTTGCTTTTCTCTAAGAACAGGTGGCCCTAAAAGTAAATCAGCTCAAATCCCATGGAGAAGCTAATGAGGTGATAAGAATGGAGAAAACCCTTGGTTGGACTATGTGCCCTGATTTTTGGCCACATCAGAACAAATCAATGGGCCACAAGGGTTGAATATTTCACACTTCTCTCATTAGGGAGCCTCTGCCATTGTCAAGAAAAATGCAAAACTAATGAATAAGTTTTGGGTCTCAAATAAAGATCAAAAGCTTTGGCAGTTACAAAACAAAAAGTATATCTTTGGATTGTAAACCAAAACAATCTGATTAGAAAGTCTTTGAAGAAAGGTCAGTGGGAAACCAAGGTTCCATTTTTATAATCCCTTTCCTTTCTCCAAACACACATTGACTGGAGGAACAACATTGTTGTGTTTTCAAAATTTCATTCCTATCCTTCCTGGATCAATTTCTCCATGGAATACTAGCTATGATTCCTCTGAATCCTTTGAATCAGATTTCCTGAAATCTAAAGTATATTTCAGATTGAGATTGGCTTTCCTTTTCTTCTTTTTTTTTGTCACAAATACTAAAATGAAGAAGTTCCTTTGACCTGAGATCCAAATTATTTCCACCCTGACAACTAGTTCCTCCCTGTTGGCAAGGCAAGAATCAGGTCTAAAATAAGAGGGAAGGGAATGAAAGGGACTATGCAATCATATAGCATCTACTACATGCCAGACTCTGTGCTAAGTGCTTTACAAATATTATTACATTTAATACTCACAATAATCCTGCAAGGTAGGTGTTGTTATTATCCTCTTTTAATGGCTGAAGAATCTGAGATGAATAGAGGTTAAGTGACTTGCCAGAGTTCATAAGTGTCTGAGGTAAGATTTGAACTCAGATGTTCTTGCCCCCAGGTCAGATGAATCTAGTCTGGTGGTCACAGGTTAAAGGATCTAGAGTGAGAAGGGACCTTAGAAGTCACATACTCCAAGCTCCTCTTTTAACAGATGAGGAAACTGAGGCCCATAGGGGTAAATAGATTGACCAAGGTCACACAGAAAGTGGCAGAGTTGAGATTCAAATGGAGATCCTTTGACTCCAAATCTTGTGCCATTCTAACATACCAACAGAAAAGGATTTTGGTTATAAATTTAAAGATTTTAGAAGATAGTTTTCTCTCTCATGAATGGGTTTATTCAGAAGACCAAGTGATATCATTCAATGGTAGAAAGATCTTATTTAGCCTTCTCTATTGCTTGAATAATAATAATTAATAATAACAGTAACACCAGATAGCATTTCTATAATGCCTTATTGCAAAGAGCTTTACAAATGTCACCTCATTTGATTCTTATAACCACCCCAGCAGATAAGTGCTCTTGTCATCCCACTTTTTATTGATGAAGAAACTGAGGCAGAGAGCGGTTAAGTGACTTGCCCAGGGTCAGACAGCTAGTAAGTGTCTGAGGTCAAATTTGAACTAAGGATTTCCTTACTCCAGGTTCATCACTCATTCACCATGTCACATAGTTGCCAGTGATCTGGTGATAAAAAATGAAAGGATAACAGCCCCTGTCCTAAGGAACTTTAATTCTGACTAGGGAGACAGCATGCATATATGTAGTTACATACAAGACATACACATCAAATGCAAAGTAACCTTGGAGGGGAAAGCAATAGTGGTTGGTAGTAGAAGATGTGGTGGAAACAAGACCCAGAAAGGCTCTCCTAGTAGTTTGAGCTTTAGCTGAGTCTTTAAACTGAAGTTTCCAAGGGGACAAAGATAAAGCGAGAACCTTCTTGGCATGGGGATAGTCAGAGGAAAGATACAGAGATGGAAGATACAGCATGGTATGTGACAGACTTCAAGTAGGTCAGTGTGACTGGATTGTAAGGGGAATGGATGGAGGGGGAAGTAGAATGTAAAAGCAGGAAGGGCACAAATTCTGGAAAACTTTGCTTCAGAGTTTATATTTAATACTAGCAGTAATACATAGGCACTGTAGTTTATTGAGTAGAAAGTTCATATGAACAGAGCCATGTTTTAGAAAAGTCATATAAAAATGCCCTAAATCATTATTGATGAGAGAAATGCACATTAAAACAACTTTGGGATGTTATTTTGCACCTATCAGATTGGCTAAAATGATTGAAGGGGAAAGTGACAAATGTTGGAGGGAATGCGGAAAAATTGGGACACTAATTCATTGTTGGTGGAATTGTGAAATGATCCAATCATTTTGGAGAGCAATATGGAATTATGCCCAAAGACTTATTAAACTGCCTATATCATTTGACCCAGAAATACCACTACTATGACCATTTCCAAAGATGATTATGGAAAAAGGAAAAAAGAAACCTTTATGTTCTGAAATATTTATAGCAACTCTCTTTGTG